GGGCTTGGATTTTACCCAAGTTCGCCTCAAACTCCTTTTTGGTCCCGCTTAGGGTTGCCAGGTGCCCATCCTTTATCCTGTAGCCAAAAGAATGAAGCTTCCTTATCCTGTACTGGATGATCTGCGGGGTCAATTCCAGCACCGTGGGCACCTCTCTTATCTGAGGGATGGAAACCCCTTCTTTCAACAGCCCCTGGATCCTTTCTTCCAAAACAGGAACCGGGTAATACAGCAGGGCGGGGCATTTCACCACTAACCCCCTCAGGTCATGATCGGTGCACTGGAAGGCATTTCTGGAGAAGGAAATCCTGTTCTGGATGCTGCTTGGACAGAGCTGGAAAAGGAATCCTTTGAGCTTGGACAGAAGTTGGAGGATTTCCAGGGCGGTGAAGCCCTGCTGCTGGAGACTGTCCAGCATGGCCTTCACGGAGGCAGGGGGAGTCAACAGCACAAAGGGGTCCTGACTCAACAGTTTCAGAAGCCACACCTTCAGGTTGGCCTCGGAGCCCCCTAGACTACGATAGCACTCTTGGAGCACGCTTATCACCTGCTTATTGTTCTCCACGGGATGCTGAAACACGCTGGGGGCCGTGGGGAGCAACCTGCTGATGATGACATTCTTGAGCCCCAGCTCTTGGAAGAACTGCACATTCTGCTTCCGGTTCTCCTGGTCTTGGACTGTGAAGAAAGATTCTGGAAACTGCTCGATTAACCGAGCCAGCTCGCCTTCGCTTTTGCAGACCGACTGCCAGAGTTCCTTCTGGGTGTTGACGGCGGTCGGGCTAAGGACCAGCGCTTCCGGGCAGCGCTCCAGGATGCTGGCGATGGCAGCCGCGTCGGCCCCGAGCTCTCGTAAGATCCTTACGATCTCTTCCACGAAGGTGGCCTCCTCCGCAAGGACCCATCCCTTGAGCCTGCGGATTTTCCTCACGTCAACGGAAAGCTTCGAGAGCTTCTCCACCATTGCCTGGTTTTCTCCCTTGGGCCCGCGTGCGGCTGTGTGGACACCCACGAGGGTAGGTCTAGGTTTTGGAGTTAACATCTGCCTGACAGCAGACAGCCCGCAGCGTTGGGGCCGCATCAGGAGCACCCACCGTATGCTTGGTGTCCCGGGGCTGTGCCCGGCACCCTGGGATTCGGCTGCAGCGCCACCCACCTGGAAGGAAATGAGAGGGAGCTTTGATATAAAGCGTGTGGCCTTTGGAGCACAAACATTCAGACTTGAGCTGTAACCGCCAAGGATGGAGGGGGCATTCGCACAGCCAGGGAGGCGATTCTGACTCACCGCGACCCTGTAGTATGCAGTAGAACTGCCCCTTGCGGGTTTTCCAGGCTGTCCATCCTTGCGGGAGAGGGCAGACTCCATTCTTTCTCCCTTGCAGGGGCTGGTGGGTTCAAACCACTCACCTTGTGGTTAGCGGATCACTACGCCATGATTGGCAGTACCAAGCAGAAAACGACGCGGGGCTGCACGTTAAATATATCTTCTTAATATTTTACTCATGGTTAATACCCACCCACGCATCACACCGCAGACATGAATTTGAAAATTCATGATCTACCCGAACTCTGTAACAATGAGGCAGCTACTCGCCTTTTATACAAGAGGTCAAAGGCTCCCAGATCTTAAGAGATTCTATCTTGATGGTCCCCCCAACCCCCTACCCTCTTTCCATATGGAGGGGCTTCAAAACAACCTGTGGAAGAATACTGTTTTCCCACGAACTTATTGAAGCCCCCTTTGTAGACACTTTTTCAACATGTCTGACATTTTCACATCGCTGTCTAATTGATTCTCCTGATTCGTTCCTCAAGGGGAAGGCGCACCCATTTTAGGTAAAATGAGCTAACCAGTGGTTAATTTAAGAGAATTACACAAAGATCCTTTTTAAGACCGAGGATGAAAATAAATCTTAGCGGGACAAGATGAGAAATGCCACCTGACTCCTCTTGGAGAGGCTGCTCTGCTGAGCCCCGGGCGCTCAGGTGAGTGGTGGTGTAGTGGGTAGGCGTTGGGCTGCTCGCCACACCTGAAAGTCAGCAGTTTGAAACCACCGGTCGCTGCTTAGGAGAAACGGGAGGCTTTCTTTCCCTGTAAAGCGTTACAGTATCGGAAACTCACCCTGTCCTATAGGGTCGCTATGAGTCGGCATCAACTCGATGGTGGTGAGTTTGGTGGACAGGTGAGCGAGTTTAAAATCATCTCACTAATTATCCCAGCATGACAATCGTTAGGTGCCTTCAGAGAGCTGCCCTGTGCCCAGTGCATGAGGAGGCCCCTGCCACCCACTTCCCTTGGTCTTTGGTAGATGAAGACATGCCTGTTTTTTTTTAACTTTTAATACCTGAGGGGTACACGTGTGTCGGCCTTGCCAGAGGCTTCCGTGCTGGGCTATTGAGCTAGCCAGCTAGCAGCCTTCTCTTGCTGTCTGGGCCTTTGTGTCCAATCACGCTCCATCCATTGAGGACCGAGTATGCGTTTCCAAGCTGGTCCTGCCTGATCCTAGCGAATCAGCCTCTAAATACGGATCGGCAGTCAACATTCTTAGTGTGCTGTGGCATGGGTAAGATAGCTGGTGGCACACGGATTAAGCAGTTCAAATACACCAGGCGCTCTGAGGGACAGCGATGGGGCTGCCTGTGCCCGTAAAGGCTCGCAGTCCTGGGCACCCTGTGGAGCAGGGCCACTCTGTCCCATTCGGGTGCTGAGTCAGAAATCTACTCTGCAGCAGTGGGTTTTCAGGGAGCCTAACCTCACTGTCGGCACAGTTTCTGTTTTATTTCAGGATTGACCAGAGCTTTCGTAGCCGATTCCTCGTCCCGTGAGCCGGGACTGGGGCATCCCTGGAGTGCCACAGGAAGGAGGTGCTACAGTACGACGGGCAGGCCCTCTGACCATGACCCACAGCCTGGGCACACTGCCCACGCCCCGTGCTGGCTCCAAGTCATGTGGACGTCAGGGGAGTGGCTCAGACGGTCCTGACCAGAACCGTGGCTCCCAACTGATGCCCAGAACTGTTCACGTCTCTCTCTGAAATGGAGGGGATGCGGCGATAGCAGTGCTTCCCAATGTCGGCAAAACCGCCCCCTCGGGGCGCGGGAATGACTCAGAGTGGCTCCCTAAAGCAGACGCCCACAATCTTGGGTCAAGGGCCATGCAGCTGGCGCCGCCATCAAATGGGCTGTGACTCAGAGCGACCCCCTGCGGACGACAGACAGAAATAACACCTGGTCCTGTGGCATCCTCGTGAGGACTCTGTTTGAGCCGCTGTGGCAGCCCATCTTGTTGAGAGCCGTCCTCTTTCTCACTGCCCTGCTACGTCATCAAGCACGCTGTCCTTCTCCAGGGACTGGGCTCTCCTGACAAATACCTAAGGCCAACTCTCACCATGGTTGCCTCTAAGCAGCATTCTGGTTGTACTTCTTCCAAGTCAGCCTGTGTCCTCTTTTGGCGGTCCAGACTTCCAATATTCCCTGCCTGCACCATAGTTCAAATGCATCATCAGTTCTTTGCTCTTCCTTATTCAGTGCCCAACGTTCAGGTGCAAAGGCGGCCATGGAAAACCACCGTGGGTTGAGTCAGGCACGTCTTAGTCTTCAAACTAACATCCTTGCTTTTCAACGTTCTGACAAGGTCGTATGCAGAGAGAGAGAGAGAGAGAGAAAGCACCAGGGAGGCCTTGCAACTTTTGGAATAAATGAAAATCATAGTCGAACAGCACAGATCATGATGTGCCAAAAGACCAAACCAAACTCACTGCAAAGAGTCCATTCTGACTCCCGGTGAGCCTGTGAGACAGGGTAGAACTGCCCTGTGAGTTTCTGAGACTGCGATTTTTTACAGGAAGAGACAACCTCATCTTTGGATG